ACCCCCCCCCCCCCCCCCGTCACTGTCACACCCTGTGCAGCATGCACAGGTGTCCTGCTCCCCTTCTGGTGTGGCACGTGGTGCTCTCATGTTCTGTCTAATACTATGCACCCTAGTCACCACTGAGCCATGTGTGTACTGTGATTCCTTTCCTTTCCTCGTGGCATTCTGTTTTTCTGGAGTTAAAATAGTCATGATTTGCTTTGCTTAGGTGACTCCCTTCCCTAGGCTGTTAGCCTCAGGTTCACGGCAGAGGCCCCAGTTACGTATCCCTCCCTTCAGTATGCTCAGACATTTGTTTTCTGTTGTGTTTTTTTTTCTCTTTCTTGAAAACAATCTCTCAGAGTCTTCATATCTTTTCTAATCTGAATGCTCGTCAGGATTGGTTTGACTGAAACCAAAGAGATCTTGTTTATTCCCAGTGGGACACTGGGCGGTCACTGCAGATGCTGTTGTTTTTTTCCAAATATACTATTATTAAGTGAACAACTTGTGAAAATGTAACTATTTACTGTGAATTTGTCTGTGGTTCTCTTTTATGTGTTGTCATTAAGCTATCTTTTATTAAAAATACAGAGTGTATTCTTATATTTTATTATTTTGCATAGAGTATTTTAAGAATTATTGGGATAATGTTAATAAATTTATGTATATATTTGCTTTGTGTTCTTTTTGTATTCTGTTGTATTCTTTCTCTATAGGCTCTCAAAATTAGAGAGACCTGCAATTGCCCACCACTTTCTGAACCAGACCCTCGATTAGTGTTCAAACTCGCCATGAAGGATTTTCTTAAAGAATCAGAGAAAAAGGACCTAAATACCACTGCTGAGAAACAGAAAGTGGATCCTCTTCCCATTGGAAAACAGAAGCAAACATCAGGAGCATAAATAATTGAGAAAGAACTAGCAGTTGAATTGAAATATGTGAGACAACGGATATATGAAGAATATAGCAATCCTTATCACTTTACGTTACTTTTAGAAAAATGTTTGAAATGAAAAAAATGATATTCACAGTCAAATCATGTATATTACAGGTATTACCTAAATTCTTCTAGATATTTTTCATGAAATATTGATGTATTCTAATTTATTTTAAAATATGTCGCAGAATAAATTTATATTACACATTTTATTCTGTTTCACACTTGCTTTTGATTTAGAAGGCAGACTTCTAGTGGAGAGAAACCAGAAAGCAGAGTAATTGTTATGTAGAGAGGGCTCCGGCTGAGCCTAAACTGGTTTTCAGAGTCTGGATGGTTAGGATAGACTGGGAGCTGGACAATCAAGCACTTGTTTAGAGAGATTGGTTTGCATTGGGGTAGAGTATATGGAATAGGGGCTTGGGGAGAGAGAATTCCCTGGTCCTTACTATGGACAGCACGGGAAAATGACTACAGGCAGAAGCTGAAGAAGCTGTGTTCATAGGAAAACACAAGTGATTTTATTTGTGGTCTGAGTGATAGAGTGAGGAACACAAGGGGAGAGAGGGTCCTTTCCTGGGAGACACGTGTGCTTCTGGTGCCCTGACGTCTGAAGGGAAAGTCATGTCATTTTGGCTCCTTGATGATGCAACAGTTTGGGAGTCTCAGGTTCTCAAGGGAAGCAGCCCCCGGTGGAGGGTTGTACCAGGAGAGGCAGGAGACGTTTGTGCCCCTAGGTTGAACTCCTTGAGCAGCCAGCTCCCAGTTCAATGTTGAGGGAATAGCACAAGTCACATTCCTAGTGACACTCAGAAATTACTATCTATACATATAAAAGGCTAATATGCTAAGTGTCCCTCCTACCATCCGACCGGTCACATGATGCGCACTGACCACCAGGGGGCAGACGTTCAATGCAGGAGCTGCTGAGCTGCAGTGACTTGGCAGTGGCGGTTCTCTGATGGCGCACCCTGAAACCAGAGAGGAGGGAGCCTGGTTCCTTGTGGGGCCGTTCGATTCCACCTTAGGCCGTGGGTTATGTTGTTGCTGGGGCACTGTAGCCCCGAATCTGGTTTACTGCACACTAGCGTTTGCGTTCCACACCTTGTACGACAGCAACTTTGTAGAATGCCTTCTTGCACTTAGGGACCCCTCGGGGGATGTCGGAGAGCCGGTTTCAGCCCTGTTTTGGCCTGATCCCTGCAGGTCAGGCCAAGGGGCTCCACCTGCTGGAGGGACCCCACTCACTCCGCAGATGTTGGGGAAGCTCCAGGGTGTGTCCAGCCCATCTCAGCCACCTTCTAATTAATTTCCTTTTAATGTGCATGAATCCATGCACCAGGTCACTAGTATTACATAAATGTGAAAATAAGTTTGTTAAATGTGTTCTTATTTATATAGTATTATTTATATTTCCAAACTGGTGAAGTCTAGTGATGTTGAGGCTATATTCCTAAGAGAAACATTTCGCTTGAAACACATTATATTAAGTAGTTTCTTAGAGATTTCATAAAAGGGAAAGAAACGATCTTTTGTTGAATACCTACTGAGCCCATTTATTCCACAACCTTATAAAGTAAATTTGTTATTCTCATTTTATAATAAACAGGCTTGGCAAGGTTAAATAATATACCCAGTGTCTCTCAGCTAGAAAGAGCAAAGCTAGACCTGTCTGACTATAGTCCTCTGTCCATTTCCGTGACTCGCAGATTTGTAAAAACTAATCTAGCAAAAGACAAGAAACAAACTGTTCTCAGTTGTTTGGTAGCTTCCTCACTGTAGGGCTTCAATACAGGTAAACACCTCTTTCTGCAGGTGAGTCTCCATGTCCTTCTCCCAGACCCTTCTGTGCAATGCCCATGAAACCCGGGGGAGGCAGGGGAGGAGAGAGGAACCTCTCTCCTGCCTGTGGAAAGCCTGTGACTTCTCATTTGGGAGTGTCCTGACGCTATTACATTTTCTTAGGCAAAATATTTACCTAGTTGTTAAGAAGACAAGCTCAGAGCCTATTTGTTTTTCAGGGCTTACTATATAGGTTGGTTGTAAGGAATTTCTTGATCATGTAGGGCAACACTTGGAAGGAGGGGATTCAGATAAACTGTTCTCCGTATAGTTGTTCTTTACAGTCCCAGAGACTGGAGTTCTTCCCCAGGCACTCCGTAACATGTACAGACAACTGGAGAATGTCACCTACAGGTAAACAGTAAAACACACCATTAGATTTCCCTGTAGATTTCCCAAGGACAACAGTGCAGTGGGGACCCTAGGCTGGTTTCTTCCATCGTATTATCACATCTAATAGTATTGTTCGGAATCCTTGAAAACATATGCAAGTTGACATCATGTCAGAAAGAAAATGAGAGAAAATACCTTAATAGTGCATATGAAGAAGTTTTGTTTTGTTTAAAAAAAAAACACACGAATTAATAAATGTAAAAAAAAAAGTAACATTTTAGCTCAGGATTTTAGGAGAAAGTAAATAGCAATTTGGATGTAGTATGTATGCACGCATTTTAAGCTGTATATGGAAATGACATCTGTATGTTCTGCATTTAGTTGCATAACTTAATTGCTTTTCATGTGCTCATAGGATGCAGATGTTGTTAGCTCAGTGTTTAAGAGCATGATGCCAGTAAATCCAAGGCACACATTCAATCTAATATCTCTTATAATACAGATAGTTGTAAGACTGTATCCTCTAAAACTAAACTCATTGAGAACATGTATATTTATGGCTATGTCCCTAATACCTAACACTTTTCGGCACATTACAGGCACCAATTAATATTTTACTGATACTGTATAGTCAACATCAATCATCTGTTCAAAGGTTTAAAAAAGAAACACTCATACTCTGTGACATTTCTGCCTCTTGGTAGCCACAGGACCCTGGGCAAATCACTTAAACCCTAACCCTCATTTCTTCATTTGTGAAATGGGGATAATAAATCCTACCTCATAAGATTGGTCATACGTGATGATTGAGGGGAATGATGTACTAAAGCATTTAGCACAATGTCTGGAACACCAAACTAAAAATAGCCACAATTTATTGAATGCTTTCTTTGTACCAAGCTCCATGCGAAGCACTTTTCAAGCACTATTGAGCCTCACTGCAACCCTGTATAGGACAGGGGTTATTTTGCCCCTCATTATAGATCAGGAAACTGACGTTTAGAGGGTTGATGAGACTTGCTCACGGTTACATGGTCTATTCCTTAAGATTATATTACTTGCAAGAACAGCAAAAAAAAAAAAAAAAAAAAAAAGCAACTCAAAATCAATCAAGAAAATGTATTGCCTCATCTAACAGAAAAGCCGGGGAGGACACTAGCTTCGGACACAATTTAGTGGAGGACTATGAGATCGGCAGAACAATGGCTCTTTTCTCTGCAGTTGTTCTCAGCTCTGGCTTCACTCTTCTCAGATGATGTCAAGATGGCTGTGGGCAGCTCCTGACGTATGTGATTCCTTCACATCCAGGTGGGAGGAGTGACTCACCTGGGCACTATTGAAACAAAGCCTTCAACACCACCTGCACCCTCTGAGGAGCACCCCAGGAGCCACCGCAGGGTGGGGATGGGATTATGCTGAGGATGGGTACAGCCAGCACCACCCAACAGCTGCTGAGGATGGTGGGAGACATGCAGCCACAGACTCGACTAAGTAACAACTAGAAACCCCTTACCACTTATCCTCTGTCAACAGGCTGAGAGACATGACAATTCCTTGAAGATTTGCTCTGAAATGACATTTAATCTTAGCAAAAAAAACGTAGCCTAAGTTTCACATTGATATGATAATACATTTGCATGAACCTATTTGCTTTACCACTTACAAGATATCCACCTCCCCACCACCACCTGAATTATCTCCTTTCCTCAAAATCAACCTGTGAGATTGAAGAACAAGTGGTGTTATTGACTCCTAGGGGAGAAAACTAAAGCTGGAGGAATTAGGCAAGTCATCCAAGTGTGCACTTCAGGTAAATGGCAGAACTGGGGTTGGGAGGAACCGATTCATTGATTGTAATCCAGTGCTCTTTCGGCAATACCACGTTCTTTGGAGAGGGAAGTATTGCCTCCGTATTTCAGCTAGAAAACGAAGCACAAGGATATTAAGCAGCTGTGTGCCCAGCACTGCTCAGCGTGTAACGGCAGAACTGAGATTCAGACCCTCGTCTTTTGACTCCAAGGTCTGTGCTCTTCATTCATTTACTGCCACTGCAGTGGGCAGATCTCATAAAGGAGGTGGGAATGGAGAGTGTTCATTTCCCTTCACCCTCACTTGTAAACAGCAGGGCTAATACCCTTTGTCCCCTTATTTAAAAGCACTCATTTTAATGCTCTAGGACAGGTGGTAAAAATTTCCGTTCACTTATGTTCACATACATGAAGGATAAAATTCCTGTTTATCATCTGTTAATGTGTTTTCTTAGGCTCTAGAGAGTTCCTTAATATGTGGTGAGAAATATCTCTTACTTCATTACTAGAAAAAACCCTATCGGTCTTCTACCCCTTGCCCCCCAACTTCCACCAGAAAACCAACAATCCTCACAGCGAGACCAGTGGCTCCTCGCCTTTAACCACCAGGGACTCTTTTTACATTCCCTGGCTCTCTGTGCATGGACTTTTACCCCGTAATGTTTTCTGTCTTGAAGGTTTGGAGTAGACTCGTGACCAGGTTCTCAAAACCATGATCTCTTGTTGTACTGGCAGTTTTGAGCTGAACTAGTTGGGTATGGGGGGTGTATGTCAGTGGGCGCCTGCTTGCAGATCTCGGAATTTCTGTGATATCATCACAGACCTATCAGGAGCTCTGATCATCATGTGAAGTCCCAAAAATTCCAGCCCAAAAGGAAAATTTGTGATTTTAATTAGTCTGGGTAGCCTAATTATGTGAGAGAAAATACAAAATTTTTAGTTAGGCTTTTTGAACTGCGAAGCATACCTGGCAGATTCCCAATACCATTTTTATAGATCATGAGGGGCCTGGGCCTCGTCCTATGCAGCATGGGTCAAAAATCAGATTTGCCTTTTTTCTCTCTTCAGAATATAAAAGAAAAAAAAATTTACATGTATTAATTTTGACCAATATATTAAAGTGTAACCATATTTTTGTAGGTTAGGAATGATGGATGGTCTACTTAAGGGTTCTGTTATCCTATATTTAGGGATATATTTTTAAAAGTAACTTATCTTGGCACAGAAAAAAAATAGGTTGAATATAATTTTTTCCACAGCTCTTCCCCTCGGATGTTATAGTAGCCTTCAGAGAATCAAGGGCAGCGGGATTAGTCTTACTCTTTTCTCTGGGGACATGGGACAGTAACATTTGCCCTACTTACTTCCCAGCATCCTTATGCGTTTTAAGTAATGTGTATATGCTTTCTACAACATCTGCAGTGGTGCACCCATGATGTTTCTATATTCCAGCATTGCTTAGTCTGGCCTGTGAGAGTGTTAGGAGAGATCATTTCCAAATGCAAGGCCATTTGCCTGATCTGATGCAACCCAGAATTGATGATGAACTGTTCTTACTCAAGTGGGAGAAAAGGGGAAACTTCTTTGTAGCACGTTTTATTTTAATCTGGTTTATGAGTGTATGTACCTTTAACCTAGTTATTCTATTAATCCCCTAATGCTTGTAGAGAACACTAGAGAGTGTTCCTGATTCTGATGCTCAAATCAAGAGAAATAAAGTCAACTTTTTCCTGGAATGGCCAGCCCATTCTCTAGATGGACTTGGAGAATCGGAGCTAAGGATAAGATACCACAACCTTTCTTCCCTTTTAATCCTCACAGCAGCTCCTCAAGGTATGGGTTTCCCCCCAGTTTGAGGATAAGGAAATGGAGGCTCACAGAGCCATGTAACTTGGCTAAGGTCATACAGACAGTCCAGGAACTCAACTAGGGAGACTCAAAAAGCTTTTACCAACTTCAGCACGTTCACACACACAGCCTGAGAGCAATTGTCAGGGCAACTTGGGAAACATTTATTTGGGGTCCTTTGTTCCAGTGCCCAAGGCTTTTCTCCTGCTCCGTAACCCCTGCAACTCTCCGGATCACATCTTCAAACACCGTTTCTCAACATTAATCTCTTACAAGGAGCCAACCAATGAACTGAAAGTGTTCATGACAAAGGCCCAGAAGCCATCAGGGACACAAATTGGCACATAGTAAGTGCTCAATGAATTCAAGTCCAATGAGTGACTGAACGTGTATACATGAATGAATACAAACAAACAAGCCATAGGAGTTATTTGAATGCTTGAGTTGGTTTTGTAGTGAACTTTATTAATAATATAGCAAAGGTAAAGTCTTACCCACGCACCCAGGGATATTCTACACCTTCCCCCCACCCCCCAACTCAGGGTTCTGTAAGCCTCAGCTCTACCCACAACCACTCCATGGCAGGGTAAAGAAAAATCCCACCAGTCTGCACTCTCCAATGACTCACTAACCCTACTAGTATTCACTTATTTCTTCTCTCCCGAGGGATGTCTCGGGCACCACAGGATGTCACACAGCCACAAGAAGGGACATCCCCAGATGTGTGGGGGCTTAACTGCCCCCTGCCCCCCAACCAGTGGGGGATCAGAATCAGCAGATAAATGTCTCATCCTCCTGAGGTGATTCTAGGGTGTGTTCCACAGTTTGTCCGAGGTTCCCCAGTGGGACCCCTCAGTTGCTCACAGTTTTAAAGCACTCATTAGTGCATACTACATTGGTTGTTTTCTCTCTGTCCACTTCCTCATGCGTGCTGCCTGAGATCACTGCCAGATAAACCACCCAGTGTCTGCCTTCCTTACCTAGTGCCTAAGGGCCTGCTTTTGGGGGAATCCAAACTGTGAAGTTAGCTATCAAACTTTATTATTATTATTATTGAATACCAAGAACAACCCAACTTAATAGGTGAAGAAACTGAAGTTCAGAGAGGTGAAATAACTGGCTCATGGTTATACAGCAAATAGTGCTAATAATCCTTAGCTCTCCAGGTTGTTTTGAGGAAGTAATAAGTCAGCTCGGGTATAAATGGGCTTGTAAACTATGGTATTGGGCATGAGTTGCTTATTGTCCCTTCATAGTACCACCTCTTCTAATGATGGTGACATGCAAAGTGATCCCCTGATGCTCAAATAGCAATAAACATGCCCGAGTACAATAGCTAATCATTTCCCTTTCGGGCCTAGAGCAGCCTCACGCTTTGAACCTATTATCTGTGATTCATAGGCTCTGGATTGCAGTGGCCTCATAGCCACCCATGCAGCGGAGTTTTGACTTGTAAATCATAGTCCAGGCATGAAGTGGTGTTTACACACACGTAACCGCTCATCCAGGAGAAGGAGCTTATTTAACAGCCAGACTTCATGGCCTCGTCCACACACAGCAATCTGTTGGGAGCTGACATGTGAAGGCAGCAGAGTGGGAAGATAAGCCAGTCTTGGAGAAGCCTCCTCAGTGCTCAGACATGCTCTGCAGGGTCATTCAGGTCTGATTGCCCTGGAGATGCAGCCACTAACAACATGATCAGTGACCAGAGCAATAATAAGGGCCATGGTTCGCTCCTGAGACCTCCTACAAACCAGGCCCTGAAGGCACTTAACATGCATGAGTTGGTGTGATGCCTGCAACAGTTCTGTGAGTGGCTATGACTGTCCCACTTCATGTAGAAATGAAGAGGTTGGAGCCCAAAGACAGACCTCATGGTTTGGACTACTTCACCCTTCCAAGCTTGTAGACCCCAGATTAATGCCATCTGGAGGTGTTAGGGGTTGGTAGGTTGGCTTTTTGGCTGGCTGGTTGGTTTATAATGGGTGAAAATGTGATATGGGGAAATATCTTTCAAATCAGATAGACCTTAGTTAAATTACTTCACTTTCCAGGACGAATTTCACCCCTACCAAATATTCCGTAATGTCAGCCGCCCCCAGAGCACCTGTGAGGAGGCAGTGGTCTTATGCAGGTAGGGGCCTGGCACATGGTAACTGATCACTACTGGCTATTTTTCTTTCCCTCTCAACCTTGTGGCTTATAGTCCACTTAACTTCCAAAGATGATTTGATTTAGAAAAGCAAATTGGGGCCAAAATCTGAGAGGATATACACTTCTCACCCAGCCTCAAATTATTTAGGAGATTACTTTGTAAGGCAGAGAATGCAACAGATAAATATAAGATGGGTTTTTCAACAGTCTCCTGTTTTCTACTCAAAATAACATTAAGAATCAGGCATTACCTGCCCTGGTGCTCTGTCCTCTGCTGGTAAGTTCTCTCTCTTTAAAGTAGTATTTCAAATGTCCCAGCAAGTTGGAGAGCCCTCCTCACCTCCTGCCCCTTTGACACATAGACAGACAGACAGCGCTCCCCTGGTCGAGCTCAGTTAAAATGTTATTGGTTCCATTTTACTAATGAATTAAATAACTTTTCCAGTGTCACAAAGTAAGTGGAAAGGGCATGACTCAAACTAGGTCTCCTGAGCCTAAGCATTTCATGGCTGTTATTCTGCCTGGGACTAACTAAGTCTGAGATCCAGGGAATTGCATTATTGGGCAATATGCTGGCCCAATCAGGTAAGAAGAGCTCTCAACCATGGACAGCTCCACTGG